ATTGCAATTATTGAAAAAAAAAGAAGAAGCTCCTCATAAAATTAATCAAATTTAAAATCAAGACCTTTTTCATTCGATACAATTAATGATAAAAGCTCAACTAATAGTAAACAACATTTAAAAATAGGTAGTGTTTTCCATCCTTGTCTTTTTAAAATAAACAGTAAGGCGAAAAACACCATTATGATCTAAATAAGAACTCATACTATTTATATATTAATAGTGTTAGAAGCCTTCAACTTAAAGACAACATACTATATACTAATCTTCTGATAACCGTGGACTGAAATATCGGCCAAAAATAAAAATTGATTGTTTATACAATGAGAAGGCCCTTAAAGTGGAACCCTGAGGGTAAACAGAAGAAATTGAAATAAAGAAAGAAATTGAAGAAACTGACAAATCGTGGCTTGAAATAAAGCTACTTGCGCGCAACAAGTTCAGACGAAGAAGCTTTATGGATGCCCTATACTCCCAAAGAGAGTAGAAAAAGGAGAAAAAAAAATAGAATATTTTGTTATTATAGTCAAAAATTATGCAATATACGGTGTATAATTAAAAATGGAATTCTTAAAAAAAACCTTAAGTCTTAGGTTTGAACTTAAGAAAATGGAAAACAAAAGATTTCTTTATATAAAACGGAATCACTCCAGACTACATCAATAGATCAATTTCTTATGAGTAGTTATATTGACGAGTAGATGCACATGAATGGGCCAATAAATTAGTCTCATTTAAACTATTTGGTGCCGTGTATTTTGTTCAAACTCGAGGAATAACATTAATTTAGCACTCCTAATCCGGCTCTGATCATATTTACAATCTTTACAAATTTGATTATTTTATCCATTTAACTTCCAAGTTTCCAAAAATTATTAATAAAATTTTAATATGTAATATTCTAAAATTATTTAGTATCAAATCAAATACAAAAAAAATTTTTTGACCGCAACACACAAATAGAAAATAGTATATGTATATAAAAGGCATAAAATTTTCCACCATTTAAAACTACATAATTATATATACAACAATAAAATATAACAATTATGTAATTTTTATAAAACATTTTTGTTGAATACTTATGATAGAGTGAGCCTGAAATGTTAAGAATAAATTTCCTTTATGATAACAGAATGAACGAGATATACAAAATTGTACACAGAAAGAAATTATTACCATTTAATTGTTATACAAAAATGTTATAAGGTATGTATGGGCTTTATTAACAAAAGGCCAATCTAACACAAACATAAATAAATGAAAAGGAAAAACTCAAAATTTATGATGACATGAAATATTTTTTAATTACATAAGACTCTAAATATAAGTATACTAACAACAATAATTTGTGGATAACAAAGGATATTTATAAACACAGAAAGAAAAAAAAAAGGGTAACTTTAAAGCAATAATTATAGTAATTAGATAATTTTCAAATCCCTTGTTAAAAAATTCATATACACCACAAAAACATAACTATGTACGTATAGGTACCCTATTATTTTAGGAATATTTTGCTCTCTATTTACTGAAAAATGAAAAAATGTAAAAAAGGTACTTAAAAAGTAATTATTAATGTTCTATTTTAGAGTTTCATGAACAAATTTGACGCAAGTTTCACATTACCAATGACCTCTTTTAATTTGTGTATAGTAACAACAAAAAAAAAGTTTCTTTTATTTCCTATTTCTGTTCCATATATGGGTATATAAACATTGTTATATAAGCGAACGATTTTTGTATATATGTATAATTGATCCTTAAGGATATTAATACGAGTATATGTTAGAAACTGACGTAATATTATATAATGCTTACTTTAATTATTGTGAAGGCAAAATCAATAGCACTCACAATTATTACATTAAAAAAAAAAGTTAAACTTAAGTCTTTTTGTGGCAAATGTAATAGAACAGTAGCGGTTACAATATTTTATATTATCTTTCTTAGACAAAGTAGATTATAACGATTAGTGGCGTACTATGTATTCTTACACGCTTTTGGCATACTATGTACTCTTACACGCTTGATAATAGGCTGTAGCAAAAATATTTTTGGAGATATTTAAAAAAATCTTTTGAAAAACTTTAAACGCGTTTTCTGGCTAAACTAAAAGAGATAGAGCGATTCTAACTGTTTTGTGTGATCACTGGGAGTTCACAGATTCTGCCAATATATGATAATGGGCTGTAGCAAAAATATTTTTGGAGATATTTAAAAAAATCTTTGGAAAAACTTTAAACGCGTTTTCTGGCTAAACTAAAAGAGATAGAGCGATTCTAACTGTTTTGTGTGATCACTGGGAGTTCACAGATTCTGCCAATATATGATAATAGGCTGTAACAAAAATATTTTTGGAGATATTTAAAAAAATCTTTTGAAAAACTTTAAACGCGTTTTCTGGCTAAACTAAAAGAGATAGAGCGATTCTAAGTGTTTTTTGTGATCACTGGGAATGCACAGATTTTGCCAATATATAATAATAGACTGTAGCAAAAAATATTTTTGGAGATATTTAAAAAAATCTTTTGAAAAACTTTAAACGCGGTTTCTGGCTAAACTAAAAGAGATAGAGCGATTCTAACTGTTTTGTGTGATCACTGGGAGTCTACAGATTCTGCCAATTTATGATAATGGGCTGTAGCAAAAATATTTTTGGAGATATTTAAAAAAATCTTTGGAAAAACTTTAAACGCGTTTTCTGGCTAAACTAGAAGAGATGGAGCGATTCTAACTGTTTTGTGTGATCACTGGGAGTTCACAGATTCTGCCAATATATAATAATAGACTGTAGCAAAAATATTTTTGGAGATATTTAAAAAAATCTTTTGAAAAACTTTAAACGCGGTTTCTGGCTAAACTAAAAGAGATAGAGCGATTCTAACTGTTTTGTGTGATCACTGGGAGTCTACAGATTCTGCCAATTTATGATAATGGGCTGTAGCAAAAATATTTTTGGAGATATTTAAAAAAATCTTTGGAAAAACTTTAAACGCGTTTTCTGGCTAAACTAAAAGAGATAGAGCGATTCTAAGTGTTTTTTGTGATCACTGGGAATGCACAGATTCTGCCAATATATGATAATAGGCTGTATATGATAATAGGGAGTTCACGGATTCTGCCAATATATGATAATAGGCTGTAGCAAAAATATTTTTGGAGATATTTAAAAAAATCTTTGGAAAAACTTTAAACGCGTTTTCTGGCTAAACTAAAAGAGATAGAGCGATTTTAAGTGTTTTGTGATCACTGGGAATGCACTACAGATTCTGCCAATATATAATAATAGGCTGTAGCAAATATATTTTTGGAAATATTTAAAAAAATCTTTTGAAAAACTTTAAACGCGTTTTCTGGCTAAACTAGAAGAGATAGAGCGATTCTAAGTGTTTTTTGTGATCACTGGGAATGCACAGATTCTGCCAATATATGATAATAGGCTGTATATGATAATAGGGAGTTCACAGATTCTGCCAATATATGATAATAGGCTGTAGCAAAAATATTTTTGGAGATATTTAAAACAATCTTTTGAAAAACTTTAAACGCGTTTTCTGGCTAAACTAGAAGAGATAGAGCGATTCTAAGTGTTTTTTGTGATCACTGGGAATGCACAGATTCTGCCAATATATGATAATAGGCTGTATATGATAATAGGGAGTTCACGGATTCTGCCAATATATGATAATAGGCTGTAGCAAAAATATTTTTGGAGATATTTAAAAAAATCTTTTAAAAAACTTTAAACGCGTTTTCTGACTAAACTAGAAGAGATAGAGCGATTCTAAGTGTTTTTGTGATCACTGGGAATGCACAGATTCTGCCAATATATAATAATAGGCTGTAGCAAAAATATTTTTGGAGATATTTAAAACAATCTTTTGAAAAACTTTAAACGCGTTTTCTGGCTAAACTAGAAGAGATAGAGCGATTCTAAGTGTTTTTTGTGATCACTAGAAATTCACAGATTCTGCCAATATATGATAATAGGGAGTTCACAGATTCTGCCAATATATGATAATAGGCTGTAGCAAAAATATTTTTGGAGATATTTAAAAAAATCTTTAGAAAAACTTTAAACGAGTTTTCTGGCTGCACTAGAAGAGATGGAGCGATTCTAAGTGTTTTTGTGATCACTGGGAATTCACAGATTCTGCCAATATATGATAATAGGCTGTAGCAAAAATATTTTTGGAGATATTTAAAAAAATCTCTTGAAAAACTGTAAACGAGTTTTCTGGCTGCCCTAGAAGAGATAGAGTGATTCTAAGGGTTTTTTGTGATCACTGGGAATTCACAGATTCTGCCAATATATGATAATAGACTGTAGCGAAAATATTTTTGGAGATATTTATTCAATTGTGCTTGAGGATTTTTTAAGAATACATCAAAATGTGCATTGTTCATCGAATAAGGGGTTGTAATTCCAGTTCTCTGTTCCCATTTATTCACTCCCATATTATGCACTTATTACTGCATAAAAAAAAAACTACCAATGTTTACAATAACTCATATTCATATATAAGAGTTATTATATATGAATATAAGAGTTAATGTAAACATTGGTTATATATGTTAGCAATATTATATACAAAATAAAGCACTTATATTGCCCCTATTATTCTAGATATTTCAATATAATTAGAAATAATTATTATTGATATTGCAAATATATATTATATAGGAACCCTCTTTGCTCTAAATGTTCAATTAGAGCATATCATTTACATAATATATATTATAAATTTAAATAGATAACTCCTATTATACTATTAATATTATGTATGTATGTATAGAAAATTAATTGTGAAAAACTAAAAAATTAGGGTTGCCTTAAAGGTATATAGATTAAATTAGGTCAATTCTAAGGTTTACTTTCATTTCAGATTTGTATTTATAATTAAGAGTATTTACGATTTTTTAAGAGAATTTATAGTAAGAGTATTTATACAAATTCAATGAATCGAAAAAAGAGAAAATTTAAGTTGTAAACTTACCATTTCGATTTTCACTGTCAGCTGGTTTCATTTGAATGGGATGATGCATCTGAAATTAAGAAAATATTAAATATTACTTTCATTTCTAGAATTTTAAATTTAATCAAAAAAAAAAAAATAAGTCTAATTCTACTTCGTAGAAATTACATTATAAGACCGTATTATTCCGTATATATTTGATTTACAAGACCGTATAAGACCGTATATTCCGTAAATATTTGATTTACAAGTAAGTTTTTAATAGCGATTCTAATGTTTGTAATGATTATAAGTGCTTAATTAAAATTGTTTCAATTAACATGAAAATAGCAACGGAGTTGCGGTCCTCTGCACTCCACAAGTTCCTCGAATATATAAGGCCGGGGAATCCCGATCGGGTGGTGGGATGGGGGGCATAATGGATCCTATACGTGGTCGCGGTGTACTATTACCACGTAATAGAAACCTTTACAGCATATTTGAAAGTAAAATGACTCTGTTATAATTGCTAATAGGAGCTCATAATAATGATTACATAGAGGAAGCAGCTCCCAAACATTAATTGTTATAATATTGAATAGTGCAATTAAACTGTTTGTAACAAATACCCGAGAGAACCTTTAAGAGCATAGAGATTTAAAACCAATATTCAATAAATCGAAAGGATGAGATTATTTATTTAACTTACAGTCACTCGAAACAATTTTAAGATGTTCGAAACATGTTCAAGTTCATTCTTTAAATATTTATAAAAATCGTACAACAATTTATGAAAACATTTTAACATTAGACAAAAATCTGAGAGAATCTCGGAGTACACAAAAATTACGGACGGACAAAAAGCGCATATGTGCAACAGAATTAAAAATAAAACGTATTGTTAAGGAAATTTTAACAAGAAAGCATTCAAAAACTTTCGGAATACAAAATTATTTATACGAACATAAATACAAAAAAAAAAAATGACATAAAGAAAACGACAAGTTATGAGTTTCAAAAATGACACAAAACAATAATTTTTGTATTCTTAACATTTTCCTCTCTTATTCTCTTTCTCTCTCTCTTTGTCTCGCTCTGTCTCACTCTCTCTCTCTATTGTTATTTGGTTTTAATTGTATACTTTTCTTTCAATAGAAAAATTACTAAAAACTTTTGACATTCATTTTAGTTTTCCAAAAATTTCGAAATAAAATTGACAAACTAACATTTAAAAGAAAGCATAATAAAAAACTATTGGTTTACTATGGGTATTCATTACACATGTTCAAATATATGTTATACAAGTTTTATAATTATATATATATATATATATATATATATGTACATATATGTAAATCTAAAAAAAAAAATTTAAATACTTACCCCTTCTAAAGTTCTAATATTATGAAGTGCATCCTGTGCTCTTAACGCTGCCTTTCTTGTATAAAACGTCACAAAACAGCACCCTGAAAACACAAAGAAAGCAAAGAAAAACATAAAGACAAAGAAAATGCAATCAAAACTACACACATACTATAAAACAAAAAAAAAAATTACAAACAACATGAACATATGTATAAAAAAAATATTCTAGGTAAAAATTTAAGAAAAACTACAATAAAAATTTAATAAAACAGGAAAAGAGAGAGTGAGAGAAAAAAAAACTTTTTATACATGAATATAAAATGCATGTTGATGCAATTTAAATTTTCGGACCAAAAGTTACAACAAAAACAAAATTTTTTAGAAACAAAACAATTCGAAACAACAAAAAAAAAAGTAAACTATTTTTCTCTTTTTACTTTATTACCCCAGTTGCATAACTTGGATTTCCTTTACATACAATGAATGTATAAACTAAAGTTAAATTTAATTCTAAACTTATACAATTTAACGGTAATACGAACAAAATAAAATTCACGAGGGGAATTCAACAAGTTTTCAAACTACAACATTAAAAATAATTAATTGAGCGCCATCTATTGCAATATTCATGTTCTAATATATTATGAATATAATTAAATTATAAAATTTTGTATAGCAATATGATTTTAATGAATGACTCTAAAATTTGTTGAATGGGTTGAAAAATCCTGATGTTACGTAACATTTTCAGTTTTTTTGAGAATGACAGATTTTGACATTTCTAATGATATAAATTTAGTTTTGTGTATACTGGTTCGTCTGAAACTGATATTATAATTCTCGCGGGGTGATTTCTTGAAGGTTTTTACGAAAACAATTTTTCGTGTGGAGGAGAGAAGAACTCGGACATTTAGCGATAGTTTTGAAGGTCTAAGAAAATCATCTTGGCAAAAACCAGTCTATCATAACAAATATCCATAAAACTTTCAAAAGCTAATGTTTGCAACTTTATTTTTCTCAGCTAATAAACTTTCACAACGTGAATGGTTCATGTTTTCGAGATATAGGTCCTTAAACATGATATTGTGAGAAGAAAACTGAAAATTTTTCACAAAACGTTAAATATTTCAAAAATTACTTTTAGCGATGTAAGCTGCCTTATTCTCTACAACTTGGTTATACACAATTTTCATGTCACATGCAGCATTAGTCCGGAAAAGTATGTCAATTTATGTAAAAAAATGGCTGTTAATAAAAAATACGTGAAAAGTTTTGAATTTTGTAATAAAGACTTAGAAATTTTAAAAGTACAAGAAAAAATTGCCTTAACAAATTTCTCAAATTCATACCCCATTTTAAAATAGACTGTCAAAATTCCTATACATCTCAATTTTTTCGAATATTATTGACATAAAACGGTAAAAAAAAATCTACTCTTAATTTACTTAAAACCGGCTCCTCAAATTGTTTCTTTTAAACGTCGCAATTTTAAGTTACATTTATTTTTGTTTATGCTGCACTGCATTTGACTAGAACGTTTCGAATTCCCACCGTATGTTATAAAAACTTACAATGTTTTCAATTTCCAAAATATTTTGTATTTTAAAATTCTAATATAACTAAATCCAAAAACTCAACAAAAACTGTCGTTTTAAAAGAAGAAATTTTTAAAAATTCAAATTTTATATAAATAAGTATAAAGTTTCCATTTAATAACAATGGTAAAGAAAATTTTTACCGCATCCTTGTAAATGAAATCTTTAACTTGTTACTTAACATCATATGAGATTCAAGACACTTAACATTACAATAACATTTAATTAGAAAGAAAATTCAAACAACAACTATTTTAAACTTTGTAATTTTTTATTTTCAGAATCATTATTGCCAGTTTCTAAAAAGTGTTATACTACATAATTGGGAAAATTATTTGGAAATTAGAAGTAAAAAATAGTATACAATTCTATAATTAAAAATTTTGTTCTTTAACGAGGTATCCTGCTGGTTTCGCATTCTGCTGGTAATTAGGTTATTTTTCTTATTAAAAAATGAATGAAACATAAATGACTCTGTTATATTAAACAAAAACATGAGTCCGAATTTAATTTGAGTGGACTATACGATCCGTGAAGATTTATACGTATAAAACTACATGAGGATGTTGCTATGAACGGTTAACTCACTTTTATTATAAAAAAAGATGATACATTTACAGATTCTTGATGACCTTGATAAAAATGAAGAAGTTATCAAAAATGAATATTAAGCTAAGCACATCAGACTCATCTGAGGGAAAAATAAAAATTTTTGGAGGTTAAATATGAACGCATTTTACTGACAGAACAGCTTACTTGGACATATAAACTTATCACTCGGTCATCTAAATTCAGTATCTGAGGTGGATCTTGAATTCTTCAGAGAAAAAGTTCAACAAAAATTAAATAAACAATAATTGGTATACGAAACATAATCGAATGATTTCGGCAAATTCTACATAGGCCATAAAGAAGGGACCATAAATAACAATATTGAAAGAGCGTTCGAATGAAGAAAACCGAAGAAAGAAGATCAAGAATTCACAATTTTTTAATTAATGGATGCGAAACACTTATGTCAAACACATTACTTAACAACTGCCGACATCCAACAAATTCAAAAAATGCAAAGAAGTATAACAATGGCTATATCATACTAAAAAAAAAAAAGTAAAAATTTTGCAAAAACTGCATAATAGTATCGAACTATCAAAAATTAGGTAGAGCCAAGCTTCTAACTCTACAAAATTCAACTTTACATGGCCTTACCTCACAAACTCTACATTTTAGTCAAAATGTGTGGCTAGGCCAGATAATATCCTTGTCCTTTGCTCGCGTTTGACTTCTCTCCACGAAAGGTCTGAAATAAATCCATCATGACAAGGACACAGTCCTAATAATCATGGTACTTTACTCAAAACACCAAGTGTCTTAAAATTAAAACAATTATTTTTATAGAGAAATCAAAGGCGTTTTTGAAAAGCTATCGCAATTACCAAAGTCCAACAAGACAATTTGTAGGGGACCTAATTAATATCATATTGGGGACAAATTGAACTCATTATTTTAAGTACATTTATATTAATTGTAAAATTTTATACCCAATTATGGCTAAAGCCCGCCTTTTTCAAAAACTCAACTATTATACTTGAATAGTAATTATTTTAATTTTATAATTCTTTACTAACAAAAAACTTTTCCAATTCAAAACAAAAATGCAATTAATATTTTTTAATGTCACTATAATTTAAACTAATATAAATAACTATTTAACTAATTTATACAAATTACTAAATTATATAGAGAAAAAAAAAAACTAAATTAATCTACTCATTTAAAAAAAATATATACAAAACTTCTACAATTAACAAATAAAATTAAAGAACTTTTACAAATTTCTCTCTGACGACTTTCTCTCCCCCCTCAAATATTACAAATTCTTAATTGTTAGCTTTTAATTCAACCCCTATATAACCCCATTCTCTCTTCTATTTAAAAATTGTTGAAAATAATAAAAAATTTCAAAAAATGTATAACTTTTTTTTTTTGTTTCGTGATCCCAAACAGAAACATAGAGAAAAAGGATAACATTCTCGATGACATTAAATTTCTTAATTCTATTTTAACTCTGACACACTAATAAAAGACTGGTTGGTATTATTAAGTACGAAACTTTTAACACATTTACATAATTTAAAAATAATATGAACTAAAAGTGTTAGTTAAACAATTTAATTTTTAAAATAATAAAAAAAAAAATTTTTTAAAATAGCAAGAAAAAATTTTAAAACAAAAACAATTAAAAATTTCAAGAATAATGAAAGGGGGGGGGGGCTGGTTGTGTGGAATGGGAGAAAGAAATTAATTTTTCTCATTTTTCATTAACACTTACCTTTACTAACACCTGTTATTTTATCTCTTAATACATTAATTGCATATATACGACCGAAACCCTCAAATAATCCTTTTAATTGTATTTCATCTAATGTTTTTGGTATTTGACCAACAAACATTTTAATATGATCTGGATCTGGTTGATCCTTATTCATTTCATCATCTTCATTTTCATTTGTATATTTTTCTATTTTACAATTATTATAAATTATATTATTATTATTATTATTTTGTTGTGTAACATCATTATCATCATCATTATTATTATTATTATTACTACTAGTAGTATTTATATCACCGGGGACCATTACTATTGATTGTGTTATTGCTGGTACTTGTGATGTTATTACTCCTGTTGCTGTTGTTACTGCTGTTGTTGTTATTATTGGTTTTATATCTATTACTGATGATGCTAAGTCTGCAACATTTTCAATATTATTATTATTATTACTGTTATTGTTATTATTGTTGACAATGACAGTATCCGTGCATGTATTTGCTTTCATTGCTCTATATAGAAAGATGAAAAAAGAAAAAAAAATACAAAGAATAGAAATTCAAATTATTTATATATATATAAAATTTCTATATGTGTGTATGTAAAATAATGAATATATGTATATGCGTATATAGTAGTAGAAGGTGATATTTTGTTTGATCCCTAATGCTTTTTATTTTCGATAATTCGCATGCTCTTAATAATAGTTATATTGTTATGTCTAAGTCAAAATCAACTCAATTTTGTTTATAATTCCACTACAGAAATACGAAGGAAAAAATCTAGAGTGAAGAAACCCGAATACCGTTAACAATTTTTATTTTATTCCTTCTTCGCTCCTGGAGGATCATACGGTTGGTGCACGATATTGTAAATAACAATAGTCATCGATTTTACTAGATGTGGTGATGAGCCTACCGTAACCGTTAACAAATAACAAACTTTATTAAAAATCAATTCGGCTTGCCCATTGAAAAACTAAATTTTCTGCTTGCCCATTTCGAGCTATGAGCTATGGTGAATAACTTTTCGAGAAATGAGCTATGGTGAATCAATTTTTATTTTTCTTTTGAGACTAAGTCAAATCTTTTGTTTACATATTGATCGAACACCATCAAAATTTTTAGAAAATAATTATACCAACATTAATTATTATGATGTAATTCCGGCCGAAATATACAAAAGAGCACCTGAAGGTGCGGCTCATTGAGTAGAAACCCTAATTAATAATCGTGACTAACATTTACATAAATTTTTATTTATTAAATTAAATGACAACGAAAAGATTCATCAATTTGGAATTTTTTTTCCATTTTTCTTAAAAATTTCAAAATCAAGTACTAAAAAAGTACCCTATTCGTTTCCATAGGTAAAAAGTAACACACACACAAGAGATACAGAAAGAAAATGAGAAAAACAAAATTACTTTTTTATTTCAAAAAACTAAAAAACAAAAAATATATAAGAGAAAAGTGAAATTTAATTTTTGTAAAAAAAAAAAATCTGAAATTAAAATTAGGTATGTTATGTGTTTGTAATGTATGTAATATGTAAGTATGTCAGCATAATATTGTATAATATCTTAGTAAATATTATTATTCTATTATACAAACCGTAAAATGAAGATGAAGATGGAGGAAGAGGTTTATGGTGAAAAAATTAAGGTAATGTTAAAATAAATAAAATTGAATTGTTTGCACATGATACGGATAGCGGCTTCTTTTCTCCTCTCAATGGCATTATTAAATTGTAAAATAGTTAGAATTAATGTATATTTTTGTTGAATTGGTGGAAATGGCATGAATGGTAGAAAACAGAAACATTTGGGATAAAAATTATAACATTAAATATGAATTTTTTCTTTTATACCTTTAAAACTCAAGTCGTCTCTTATCATAAAATTTTCTTTCTATTGTTTACTCTCTTTAGTAAAATGTTATCACTTTAAGTCAACATATTTAAGTATATTTATGCATGTACACACTTACACATATAAAAATATTGTAATTTTTTTTTATGTTTTACTTATTTTTCATATTGTCTGACATTTTAGTAAATTAAAAAGTCATTAGAAAAACATTTTAAAAATATTTTTTTTTTTGATAAAATTGAAAATCAATTGGAAATACAGAAAAATTTAAATCCTTTGATAAAATTTTGTAAATTTAATTATAATTTATATTGAAAGGGATAATCCTTGAAGATGTTTACCAGTATATTGATATATTGAGCCTATAATCAAGGTTGCCACTTGAATTGGGGAGGTAGGTTAAGCGTAGAACAGTTCATTTCATTTAAAATATTGTTCCGAAAGATGAAAAATATTTCTACATTACAAGTTTAATTAATCCCTTTCATAGACACAAAATCATAAACCTTAATAATTAATTTATTTAGATTTGCCTCTAAGTTTTCTATTAGATTAATTTTTTTTTTAAATAATTTCTACTGATTATATTTCATAACTAGGTATTTGATAAATTATATTTGATTAAATTTAATTGTAAAAAACCCTATTCAATTCCAGCAGAGCAATATGGTAAATTTAAAATATTCATATAGCAAATCGGAGGTATAACAGCTTTAATACCTACCATTAAGTTATGTAGTAATTCCAGTTTATTACCGCTTAATTAAGTTACCGCTCAATTGGGCTTCCGTTCTTTTGTTTGCGGGCGGTTGCCACCTATATTTTAATATTAATATTTCGAATAATGTGACATTATTGAAAACCCAATTAGTTGCTTTTATTTGCGCAATAAAACAGATTCGGTTAACAGCTTTTCTCGGATAAGTGCTCACAAAAATTTGAGATGCACTTAAGCGGGTTTTACTGTAGTAATAAACCTAAAATAATTGTCAAAAACTATAAAAAACTATACAAATGAGAATCGCTTTTTTTTTAGAACAATAAAGTAAAATAAGAAAAACCATTTCAAAATAGTCGAAATGTAGCAACTCCGAAAATTAAGTAGAATTAACCCAAAAAGTAGCACTTTTACTACAAAAATATCATTTTGGCGACGCTGCTGCCTTCATTTCAAAATTTTTGAATTGACTATTTCGAAAAATTTCGTTTTAATAGAAAAAATAAATTAAAAATAATTTAATTTCGGAAAATATAATCTTAAATTTTATTTTATTCTAAATATAATCTTAATTATCATAATCTTTGTTTGAATCTGAATAAAGTTCTCCTTAATTTACACAATTAACATTAAATTTTTTTTACTTTTCTTCACTTAGTTCTAAAATTTTGAATTTTGAAAATTTTTTAATAAGACAAAAATTTTAAGATTTGAATTTTTTTTTAATAATAATTTTATTTTGCATAAATTCAGGAGAACATTATTTTTCCGATTAAAATTTTGAAAATCTTAATCATCATTGTTTAGCAACATTTTTATTAGTTACTATTTTATTGTATTCATTTTATGTTTACAATAAAATTTTTAGTCATGAATAACGTGTGTTATACGTAATGTATATTAATATTAAAATATTTATAGTTTCTACAATCATTATAAGAAGAGAATGGAATGGTGAAAACCATCTTAAATTATTTATTGAACTTAATTATAATCTTGATTGAATACATAATATTATGTAATACTTTTGCACACATACCTCTTGCGTTTAATTTTACTTATAGAACATAGTTTTCATTAAATCCATAAGCAATTTTAGGAGCACTATTATAAAATTTATTAGATAATTTTTAATTATAAAAGAATTATTTGAGTATATGCAATAATTTTGCGCGAATCAAGAACTACACTTAAGAAAATTAAAAAATATCAAAAAAAAAACAAAGAGAAAATCTCGCATTGAAAATTTAACCACAAAGATATTCTCTCTTTAACAAAATTTTACCCGTAACCCTAAATCTATTTATTCTTAACCACACCAAAAAAAAAAAAAAATAAAATTAAATTTTACATCATTGATGATATTTTTTAAGCGCTGCGATAAGCTAAAGAATTTATGCGACTTTATGAAATTTCCGAAAAAAAAAATTTTTTTTTTTTTCGTATGTCAAATCGAATATAAAAGGTTATATTGCAAAATACATTGTAAAAGAAATTCACTCTGTCACATTTAACGGACAGGGTATGCGATTGCTAGTATTAAAATCCGACTTTGGTAGTTTGAAGCATTTATGAGCAAAAACATAGAGTCTTTATGCAACATGCAAAGATGCATACATAGCGGAAGGAAATTTGTTAGAAAACTACGAACTAAAATTGAATTTAACCTTGTTCAGTATTACAAATCTTGTTATTAAGATCATGTGCAGATTTTTATAGACATCACACCACGCAAGCAACAGTGGCAAGGAATGAAATACGAAATTCTATTTTTCACTTAGCTAGTTAGCAATCATTTTAAATTCCTCGCGGGAACTCCAACTTGTCGTGATAAGGAAGCTGAGTAGAATCGATAAGCGACAGATAATAAATATATACAGGCAGCATGACTACATGTTGAAAACCCTTTCAAAATGTTGGACGGGTTGAATAATACGGCCAAAATACAACCTTAGAAAATCGGATGGACTCTTCTTCTCTTTACACAGAACACAGGTCGTTAGGGATACATGCGACAAGACTACGATTACCATCCAATACTTTATGTTGCAGATACCGGGAAATGCACAAGAGCGACCCTATTTTTCACTATATCTGTGAGTGTTCGGCTCTACGCGGGGCAAAATTGTTCCGTCGTTCGTTCGTTTTCAAATGATCAATGGCTTCTTCATCACAAACCCAATTGTATTCCACAAATTTACAAAAAATAAATAAATGGCACTCACGGTGTCCAAAATTTATCATTTTTTCAAACAAAAAAAAAATTTATTTGTATTCTGCTTTCAAATTCAATTAATAAATATGTAAATCAAATAAAAAAATATTAAAAATGAAAGCAATTTGAAGTTTTTGAACATTAATTTTAGTTTTTTTATTTTATTTTTTTTTTTTTTTGCGTTTTATCGCGAAAATATCATTTAATTCATTTTTCTTTACTGGCTTTACTACGGTATAGCGCTACTGTTTTCATACATTTTTTTTTTCACTTGTTTTGTTTTTATATAGTTTAAGGTAGATGAAACATATGTGTGCTTTATGAAAATCTATAAATTTCCATTACTTTTAGTACAACGGACTTCCATCAACAATAAGCCTTACATATTTTCTTTTTTTTATTATTTTTTATTCATTCGAGACCAATATCGTATAGTTTTGTTGTTGGATATTTTAAATTACACTCTCCGCATTTAATATGAATAGTGTGAACGAATGTAATTCAATTCAAAAATATTTATATTCGAAGAACAATGACGGATGTGAGTATTATAGAGGTTAAGTGGCATATTTCAATAATGAGAGAGTTCCACTAAATTCTTAAATATCCAGACGTCGCTTCTCCGATTCTATCAAGTTGAATGGATTCTACTGAACTTTGTTTTATTACAATTGTTCCTGTAACTGCTAGATTTTCAAGATATCTTTCT